TAACATTTTTTCCCAAATTTATTCAAATGCTTGAGCGTCTACATAAAAATTTAAAAGAAGAAGAAAAACTGAAATAATTTGGAATCATAGCTCTAATTCTACTTTTGTTGATATCTCTTTTTTTTTTTTTTTTTTAATGTGGTAAATTTCTGTTAGCTACTTTTGGTCTTTAAACATACCCCTGCTGCTTTGAGTTTAGGTTGAGATGAGATTTCATTCACATCAACTGATTTCTGGTTCTAAAAGGTGATTATAAATTCTTATGTACATGATTTACAGATGCTATTGTTGATCTCCTGTCTAGTTTAAGTGTTATTGGCAAGAAAGGCTTGAGTGTCTGCATACAACATTAAAAGGACAAGAAAATAAAAAATAATTTGCCATCATTAAACTGGAGGTGAAGGATAAACATAAAATCTACATTAAATTCATTTTATCCAAACAATTGATTTTTCTGGTCATTGTGTGATAAAGATAACCAGTTGTCAATATAAAATAAATTTAAAAACAAACAAACAAAAACAAAACCCAAACCAAACAAAACACAAAATAAAACAAAAGAAACGACCAACCCAAAAAAAAAAAAAATCCGCAACAAAAAAGAAACACCCAAAGGCTCCACACATATGTCTAAGGATAAAGTGAAAGTATAAGCAGAAATTTGACTACTTGAACAATTAAGATTTCAGGAAAAAACAGAACAATTAAGATTTCAAGAAAAAACAGACATGTACATGTCTGTACATGTGTTAACAGACTTTGATAATTTTTTTTGGGTCATCTAGAGAAATCCATCTCCACCTCTGCTCGACACCTTACACTGTTGACCAGTAACAACCCAGAAAGGGGGTAGGAATGAGCTGATGTCCTGGTTTGTTCAGGACTGTCACACCAGATCCTACAGAACTAAAACGCTCAAGAACTTGCTGTTGCATGAGAAGTGGGCATCTCCCAGAGCTCCAGACAGTTAATGGCTAAGGAGTGCCTGAGCCTATAAAAGGATGTCTCCCCCCATGCTTGTACATGTGAATCAAGTCCTGTTTTATCCCATAACTGAAAAATGGACAGATCTGCACAACTAGACAGCTTTTTTATTTCTAAATATTCTCTCTCTTACTCCATAGGAAGTGTGTTGTCAAACAGAGGCTATTTTTTTGAACCTGCTTTTTTGCTAAAACTACATCAGTTTCACTGTTACTTTTTCATCTTACTTGATTTTTTTCCTTCTGGGACAAAAAAGCAAAAGAAAATAACAGTAAACAGAATCACAACTTGTGGTGGGAATGAATCTGGACAGATAAACTGTGTTGTTATGTCAGAGCCATTTTGGGCTGGTTTTATGTTTTACAAATGGGTAGGTGACAAGAAAATTCCGATGTGTACTACACATTTGCCCAGAGGGCAAGAGTTAAACTCTGTAGTCACATAAATTCAAGGACTGTTCATAATAGACTTTCCTGTTACTCTTGAGAAACTGTTTGCACTGCCAGGACAGTTTGAATGGACACAAATTTTCTTATCACCAGGGTCTGCCATTTTATAGCACATGTGTGCTGTGCTGCATAATTACAGCTATATCATCACAGCACAAGAGGACTATCATCTTTAATGTGTCTGTCTCAAAGTAAAAAGCATTAGGTTTTGTTTCTCTAGAATTACATTGCTTGGAGTACATTTATTTTGTGCAATGTGGACAATTTGTTGCATATGAGACCTAAAGCAAGGAAGCCATCATTTGTGACAGCTTTTGCAGAAAAATACAGAATTGTAGAATCATAGAGTGGTTAAAGTTAGAAGGGACCTTAAAGTTCACCTAGTTCCAACCCTCCTGCTGTGGGCACAGACACCTCCACTAGACCAGGTTACTCAAAGCCCCATCCAGCCTGGCTTTGAACACTTCCAAGGAAGGGACATCCACAACTTTTTTGGGCAACCTGTTCCAGTATCCCACTACCTCATAGTGAAAATTTTCTTCCTAATATCTAGATAAATTTACCCTCTTCCGGTTTGAAGCCATTACCCCTCATCCTATCACTACATGCCCTTGTAAAAAGTCCCTCTCCAGCTTTCTTGTAGGTCCCCTTCAGGTGCTGGAAGGCTGCTATAAGGTATCCCTGGGAGCCTTCTCTTCTCCAGGCTGAAAAACCCCACTTGTCTCAGCCTGTCTTCATAGGAGAGGTGCTCCAGCCATCTGATCCTCTTCGTGGTTCTCCTCCAGACCCTCTCCAACAGGTCCACGTCCTTCTTGTGCTGAAGACTCCAAAGCTGGATGCAGTACTCCAGGTGGGGTCTCACCAGAGAGAAGTAGAAGGGTTAGAATTTTGTGTCTTAAAATAACATTATAATGAATATTTATTATTTTATTTTCTTCCTTATTGGGAATTCAATATCAGAAATTGTGAGTGAATTTTATTAAGGTAAGGAGATTTTAATATGTTATTTGAATAATCTCCATGGGGTTTACCCATAGCTGATTGTGCAAAAAGCAGTGGTCCAATGGCTGTCTTCTTCTTCACATATGCCATATTGGTTTCTAGGGTCCCATGTGATTATAGGTACTCTGAGGGGACTATCATGGTAGAAAATGGAGGAAAAGAAAAATTTGGTTTTGTTGGAATAAGCCAATTGCAAAAGAAACCAATTTTTGTTCTTGACATTTTAATAGAGCTCTTTCTGAGCAATGTAAAGCAACCAAATATTATCACTTAGTTTAATCTAATACTGTAATATAGACCAATGTATTGTTGCATGTACAGGCTGTCAAGTGCTTCTGTGTTGACCATCCTTACAGATATGTCTTTCCTTTCTCTCTTGCCTGCAGCTGTCGGAAGAGTATGGCTTTTTTTATCTCATTGCCAAGGAGTTTCTTTGGTTTATGTGCATCAATCCATTCTGTAGCTGTTACAGTTTACTAAAAGATTACATACTAGATTCCAGGAGAGGATTCAATAATATGTTTAGCCATAGGTAGGCAGACCCTAGTATTTACACAAATCCACAGTAAACTTGCAGAGGGGTCTTTGGTTTTCAGGCATATTTCCCAGAATATAACTGTTTTTTCCTTTGTTCCTTTAAATTCACTGTTTCATTTTGAGAAGTTCTCACTGCTTTGGATTGCATATGTAAATTAAGATGATAACATGAGTTCTTTCTCCTGTAAACTGTCTTTCTTGCTATGAATTTTGCATTGTCTTAGTACAGACATGGTTTATCTGCCTTTGTTCTGAAATTTCCAAGAGTAGCAATATGCTGTACCCTGGAGGAGATGTTTGGTATCATTACCAGAGTGCAACTGTACCTTTTGACTTCTAGGCTAGTATTTTAAATCCTGATTATTTGGGGGAAATAATATCTGTCTTTTAAGGGTATATTTTTTCTTTATTGACAAAAAAAAGCCAAAAGAGAAAGTGAAATGCAGCATAGTATAGAGCTTTGAATAGTGAATGAATGAGTAGTTGTTTTGGTCTTGGAGAGAAAATGTATGGTAAATTTTTTAAAAAAATGCTTGAAAGCTGCCTTTCCAAATCAGGTTTATCTGCATATTTGCTGTTTTTCGAAGGGAGGCACTGAGCTGAGTTGTTGCATATGAATTTTTATGAATTTTATATTACACAACTCTTAGCTACAGTATGAGAGTGCAAGCTAAAGTGTTCTTTCATTGTATGGTGGTTTTGCTTTCATTATTTACTCTTTACCACTGTGCACATAAGTGAGTTACTGGTTTGACCAAATAGAGTCACGCTGCCTTCAGTAATGACTTTCACTTTCTTTGCAGTTAATATATGGCTTATATTCCTCCACAGCAGGCTTACTTTCTCTGGTTTCATTTGAGGCATACTTGGGTGGCCCCTCTAGATCTTCCTCCAGAACATCACCGATCTCCCATAGGGACCCCAAGTGATGGCACATGTTTTTTATTCATGCACCAGAGTTAGCTAATAACATTTCACCTTCTGATTACTTTAGTATATCCTGTGAGGATGTAAAGGATAAAGATCAGTTTTTAAGTGTATGCTTATTTCCTATGGTGTGTGTTGTAGCTACCTGAAGATTATAACTACAGTTGTTCAGCTAGGCAGTGAGTGGAATGCAGTTTTCAGGAAGGGCTTTTAATCGTCATATGACAGATTTTTTTTACCTGGTAAGGGCACCATCAGTTTCTTGTCCTATAAAATATTGAGTAGAAAAAGGAGCCTGGAAGACTAGAAGAGATCTAACATTGTAGAAACTACAAACAGAAATATGGGAGGTAAAGGAAATTATGGAATAAAGTGCATGAGTTAATAAATGCGTGTGACTTTGCAAACCAATATACTTTTCCTTTTTTTGTGCAGCAAATGCTATTTCAGGATTTCTTCGGAGGATCTCAGATCTTAAGGAAAATATTCATAAAGAATGCAGTCTAATGCAAGAGGGCAGTTGCTTCTCAGAGATTATTTATTTTAAAAAAATGTCAGGAAAGAGTGTACCGATTTTATATATGTGTATAATATCACCTATACAGAGCTGCCTATTTAAGTCTAGACTGTGTGAAAGGTCAGAGCTAAAAGATATTTTGCACAAGATTTAGATTCAGAAGCCGTGATGTAGAAGCTAAAGTTAAATAATTCAGTCTCCTTCTGCACTGGAAGGCAAAGGATAATATTGAAGGATTACAGTTCACTTACAATGATATTACCAACTAAACCCTAGAGGGAAAGAAACAGAATTTCATTCCAGTGTTTCAAGTTATATTTTTTTTGTATTAAGGTGATGAGCTAGCAAAGTACCGATTATTATGATTATGATTATTATTATTATTGTTGTTGTAGTTTATTATCGTTATGTTTGGTTGGTTGGGTTTTTTTTATTCCATTAGCAAGACAAAAGAAATAATGGGGAAAAAAATTGGATGCTTCAGTTCTGGGAACGACAAAACTGATAGCGGAGACTGCTTTTGTTTTTCTGTGCCTTAACTGGGGCAAGCTTTTCTCACCGTTTTCACTCTGGCTGTTGCGCAGGTGGTTGACCAGATTGACACGCTGACGTCAGACCTGCAGCTGGAGGATGAGATGACAGACAGTTCCAAAACGGACACGCTCAACAGCAGCTCCAGCAGCACAACGGCTTCCAGCTTGGAGAAGGTCAAGGTGCGGGGCAGTGCCCCCCTCATCAAGCCGCCTGCGCACCCCTCCGCTATCCTCACTGTGCTGCGGAAGCCCAATCCTCCCCCGCCTCCGCCGCGGCTGACGCCCATCAAGTGCGACGAGCCTCCCAGGGTGCCTCCTTCAGCCAACCCCGTCAAGACCAACGGTACCCTGCTGCGGAACGGGGGCTTGCCGGTTGGGCTAAATCGCATCCCCAATGGAGATATTTGCTGTATACCGAATAGTAACTTGGAGAAGGTTGGGATGCAGCCTCTGATGCACAGAGCTGAGAAAGAGCGGTGTCCTCAGCCGGGAGCGAGGGAACGGGTACGATTTAGTGAAAAAGTGCAGTACCACGGCTATTGCCCGGACTGTGATGTTCGGTATAACATTAAAAACAGGGAGGTGCACTTGCACAGCGAGCCTGCACGTGTCATGGGAAAGCTGCCACACCAGTGCCCTCCTCTGCCACCTCCACCCCCTCCGCTGCCTCCGTTTCCTCTGGAAAATGGAGGGTTGGGGCTAGGTCCCAGTAATAGCTTTCCTCCTCCAAGACCTGCGACTGTGCCTCCACAAACTGCACCAAAACCCCAGAAGACCATCTTGAGGAAATCAACCACTACAACAGTGTGATGTATGCCACTTGAAACAACTCTTTGTTTTTTCCTATATATAAACATAAATAGGTAATGAGCACTTTCTACTTGAGCAATAAAAAGACCCAATGTATTACTCCCTGTGTCCAGTGAAGTGGCATAAAAATCACATGGTAAGTACTAAGAGGAATGCTTGTTGGTCTTGCTTGTACTTGCCAAAAAATATCATTGTGGTAAAGGACGCTGAAAATATATTCATGCTTTAGCTCATAGGTTTTAAACATCTGTTGCAGTTTCTTATCTGTAGCATGGTTTAAAAGACAGTGAAAAGAAAGTTCAGTTTGAAAATATTGATAATGCTATTCATGATAGATTTTGGTCTATCTGACATAAGGGAATAACCGTTGCTCTTGGGTTTGGGGAAAATTTCTATTTCTAGCAAGTACCTTTTAAAATGTCATTTGACAAAGCAAAGCAGAGTACCAGAAAACAGCTTTTGACTGAATTCTAGCAAATGCATTTTTCTCTGCCTGACTGCTTGAGCGGAGTCATTGTGTGTGGAACAGTGCAATAGGAGGTAATCATCAGACTTTCAGGCAGCTTGATCTTTGGTGGGGAAGTAAAGAAATAATGAAGGGTATGTTGACATGGCTTTGGAAAACTGAATTATCTCACATTTTGTTTCTCACTTATGAGGTATGCCACAGCCAAGGTGAAGCAGAGAATTTTCAGGTGGACAGGGATAGTCCCATTCAGTTCCCCCCTATTTCCACTGCTCAATCTGCAAAATGGAAGTGATATTTTATCTCAAATGCGATGACAGTAGATTAAAACAACAAAGCGCAGTCCTGTATTTTCCACAAAGCTTTTGTCTGGTGCAAATCCCTTTTTGAAGCCAAAGAAAATTTTGCCTGAGGCCTGCAGGGACATCCACTTAATTCATGTAAAGAGCTTTGAAGTCGAAAAGCTCTGTGCAATTATGAGGCATTAACATGCAAAACAAGATATTTTACATGTTATCACATTTTGATGCTGAACTCAATTAATATTCTTACTTGTTGAAAAAAAGTCCTCAGTGTTTTCCATTATTTTATGAAAGAACATTCTTTTATTCTCACAAAGAGAATTGTTGGGACCTAGAGTTAAAATCATCCGATCAGTGAAGAAAATCTGATAATAAATCTGTTATTTACAAAAGTTGTGCCAAATTAATCTCAAACGGCCCAACAGCAGATGCTATATAAAAGCAGTATGCTTTTTTTCAGCTGAAATGTAAAACATACTCTATGGCAAAGCAGAAAAAAGTAGACAAAACAAATTTTTAATTTAAATTTCCATTTACATGCAGTAGTAAGTATTAAACTGAAAACGAATCTTCAAGCAGTTTGCCTGTATACACATTATAGTGCACTTATACTATTTAAACAAAAATAACAAGAATAATCATAACAGAAATTTTTAACACTTAATAACCTTTTGAAAACTTTTGCAGTAAACAAGGATTGTATTTTGTGGAAATGCACATTTAGAGTCTAAAGCTTCATGTTGTATTCCTCGCATAAAAGTTGCAAAGCAAGGAGATTACCTTAAATGCTTAATCATGCTTCCACTGGATGCTCCCCACTTGTTTTTCATGATACATTTTACATTTTGTATTGTTTGACTATACTTAATCTCGTGAGAGCTGTTGCTAAGGCCTAGCCCTTACAGCAGGAGGCAGTGACTTGCACACGTGCAAGATTTTTGTTGCCCAAGTAAAACTGTTGATAGGTGGATTCTTCACATGCCCTGGGACTTCACAGTACCTCCCTTCCTCACACATAGAAAATTACATCTAAAATCATAGGAGCAATGTGTGGACGTATCCACATTTTGTATCTAGCGTTTTTCTTTTCAAAAGAAAACTCTTGCTGTCTTGCTGACTTTATCACTGCTGTAGACGTCATATATTGACCACTCTAAGCTAGTTAATTTTTTTTCCTTCTTAAAAGAGCTACTGTGTACAAAAAATTATAGGATAATGCAAATCAAGCATGGCATAAAATACTTATTTCGTCTTATATTAGAAAAAATAACTGCATAATTTGAGATGGGAGGGTCTGCTGCACATGTCTTGCCTCACTTGTCTCATTTTTTCCAATATAAATTCATCTCTGATAGCACGGAGCACAATATTGCTCCTCTGGATTCTGTCCCTGGGCTGGTCAGAGTCTCATGAACATGTTAGTACCTCCAAATTACATGGTGTACTCTATGGACATGCATTGTTATATATGTAAATTTCAGGTTTATTGCAGTGTTAAGTTTAGAATTCTCAGCTCTGGAAAGTTTAAGTGGTATTTGACTTTCAGCATTTCATGTTCAGTTTTGGTATCCAACATCTTCCATCTTACACTTCTGTCTTCCCTTTCAGAAGGACTTTTCTTTCTCTTTCCCCATGCCTCCTGAGTACTCTTTCGCAAACTACTGCCCTTCTTTGTACATTTTCATGGCCTGTGCTATAAAAGCTAAAGATGCAGCTTTTCAAATGCAGTGCAGCTTTTGGCCAGAAATGCAGTTTCCAAATGTGAAGGAAATGCATTGTTTTTCTGTAGTTTGCTAATCCAGGCTTTCTTTAATGCACCAAAGTTTTCCAAGGTCTCTGTTAAATCATGCAATGAATAATGAATCAATTCCTCTGTTTTAATGAGAACATCCCTGGTCTGTGTCCTATTGTAAGATACTTTTATCAGTATATCAATTTCACAATATTAACATGTCAGAATAAAATTCAGATTAAACCAGGTAACCTTGCAAAGCATGGGCAACAGTTAACTTTAAGCTTTGCAGCACTCTGGAAACTTCAAATAAAAATGGCCTAAGAGAGGATGCAATAATATATTCAGCCAGGAGTGGGTTTTACATTTAAATTAGGTATATAATCTCTGTGAAGCATTTTTGAAAACTTATAACACAGCATATTTCACACCTTACTGAGGAAAGCACAATAGATTAACCAGAACTGGACAGGAATTGTCTGCCTTTGAAACGTAAATGTAATATTTTTGAGATTATATTTAGTTTTTGCAAGTATGTTAATATCTGAAAAACTGAAAGGCCAGTAACAGACCTTTAATTCGACAATTTATGTCATTTCTGACTGCTGCTTAGTTTTGATTCCCCAAAGGTATTTTAAAGTGTGAATTGACCAGATCTAGACTTCTCAGATGCAAATGGAAGGAGAAGATGGTTTCTGTCAATTTAATGAAGGGGATGAGCTTAGGAAAATGGAAATAAACAATAAAAATTGCCTAGTTAGTAGAACTGGCAGTGATTAATAAAAGCTAGCATATGGATGCATCATAAGAAAGGAACACTAGGAGAATAAAATCCAATAACAATACTTTATAAAGACATTGGGATAGAATCTTCAAAAAGATTGTGAATCTTTTTATCACCTAATAAAAGTCAGTTCTTCCTTCTCTATTGTCTTCTTGAGCGTTACACCTTTCGTCATATCTTCCATCATATCATCCACTGATCATAGAAACAAGAAAAGATTAAAAATCTTCATCCCCTTTTTTTATTATTAAATCAATATTATATTTAAAATGTTATGTGAAGTAAGTGAAGTATATTTCAGCTCTTTTAAACTTCCTACAGATAGCTTGATTATTGGTTTTGAAGCAAGCAGAGTTCAGTGTGAATTCTTCAATTACCTGCGGGAGTTGTGTTCCTGATCTTAAATTATTTGACATCCATATACCTCATGTTGGTCAACGAGTGCTCTTGTTAGCTGAGACGAGAGCTGCTGAGATAATGGACTTGACCAGATACCTTGCTGAAGGGGAGAGGCCCATGCTTTTGTCAACCTGTACAAGTCTGCTACTGTTTTCTATTTTTTCACATTTGTTCATGTATGGCAAAGTGACCGTGTTACTACATAGTTGGAGGGGTTTGTTAAGAAATTGTACCATGTGCTGTGTCTGTCAGCTGTGATGCATTATTTCAGTGGTGTAAGCAGGTGGGACAGTGGTATTTAGGTTCCCCAGTCTTTTGTGATGCTAAATTTTTGGAAATTTTGAGGCAGAGTTATATCTGATGCTGTTAAGCTAATTTAATATTAACTGACTTAGGAACAAGAAAGTAGTAAAACTGGATGGACTGTATAGAGTGCAGTCCTCCAATAAGACATATTTTAGGTTTCAATGGACCTAAATGAACAAAAGGATACCAAAGAGATAAAGACTTCTCATATTTAGCTATGGATACAATGATCTTAAAGCTCAGTTTTCATTGAGACAAAATCAAGTGGTTTGGAGGACAAGGAGATAAATGAATGTTGGTGAATAGGTGTCAAAAGTGGGAAGAAAAAGTGAAAGCAACATAAAAACACTTTACCAACTGGCAAAAATACACATTTTATTTTAGGTGCACAACAGTAATGTGTTAAAAATTCAAAGGTTTGTGTTTTACTGCAAGATAGATTGTAGAGGTAGACCTACATACTGGGGTCAAAGCTGTGCAACAGAACTAGACAAGGAGCTTAAAGTAAATAGTACAACTTCTTTTCCCTGGATCTTTCCACTGGGATATGTGTTGCTCATTTTGCTGTCATTCCATGATTGTTGAAACTTGATGTGCATCTACTGGGCAGCTTTGCAGCTGTGCAGCCTTAGTCTGGTGCAGGTGTGCAGGCCTGGTGGCATTTCAGTTGAATTAGTCCATGTTTCTGGGTGTCTGTGTCATCTTCATCAATGACATAGACAGTTGGATCGAGTGTACCCGCAGCAAATTTGCATATGAGTGGTGCAGTTGACACTCCTGAGGGACAGGATTGCCATTCAGAGGGACCCAGACAAGCTTGAGAAGTGGGCCCATGAATGTCTCATGAGACAGCAAGGGCAAGTGCAAGGCCCTGCACCTGGGTTGAGGCAACCCCTGGTACCAATATAGGCTGGGGGATGAGTAAATTGAGAGCAGCACTGAGGAGAAGGACTTGGGAGTGTTGGTTGATGAGAAGCTCAACATGGGCTGGCAATGTGCACTTACAGCTCAGATGGCCAACCACATCCTAGGCTGCATCAAAAGAAGCATGGCCAGCAGGTTGAGGGAGATGATTCTACCCCTCTAGTCAGGTCTCATGAGAGATTATGTGGAGTACTGCATCCAGCTTCCAGTACAGAAAAGACAT